AATATTAAAAACAAAAACATTGCAAAAGCCAAAATATCCCCAGCCGAATCCTGGTGACATTCAAAGCACTTGAAATACTAGCAGATTATTTACCAAGTAAACGTGTTACAATTTCACTTCCTTCCACGATCTGGCATGATTAATCGAGCCTTTGCGTTGAAAAGAAACAGATTCTTCCCACTTTAAGAGTACTACAGAGGACAGCCCTGCTACCAAAATAGGAGACCAAACAGGGGACACAACCCTAATCAGACCAAAAGTTTCTCCACCGATCCATGGTGTTAGTGTATTGTCTTAACTCAGAATCTTAGTTTAATTAGTAGTTTACTGTTTTGCAGATGAAATTGCACCAGATGGCAAAACTAAGACTATCAGATAGGGAGGGCTTATCTCTATTTGATGGTTAATTTTATTAAGTTTGGATAGTTTGAATTACACAAAATATTTTATTTAATTAATTATACTTATGCACTTGAGTCTTGTGACTTGATGACTTTATACCTTATATTATACTAAGGTGCATCTTTTTAGTTAGGGTTGGAATTTAAATCTCCTCACCTCTAAGTTCTAAACTGTTAAAAAAAAAATAATTATACTTGTTTTCTTGAAAATATTTAGCATGGTATAACGAATTAATAAAAATATTAAGTTACAAGTTATAATAGGTAACTAGGTTGCGAGTCAAATAAGATCATTATTGATATAGATTAATAACCTATCTATCATTGAGGCATTCTATTGTTATTAATTTATTATATATACTCTTTTAAAAAGTATGAATATTCATGTCATTGTTAATAACTAAAATAGTTTAGTAATAATATCTTCTTTTAATTTGATAAAAATAAAAAATTTTAAACTTGTACTTGAGCTTTGGCCCAGTAATCCCAGGCCATTTATAAAGTGCATTCATCTCTTTTTGAACAACAGTTCGTATCCACCCTTGCAAATTTGTTAAAAAAAGATGAAAATTTTAAACTTAAATAATATAATATATAAATTAAATGAGTTAAGGAATTGGTGAGAATCAACCAGCTGTCCAAAACTCAAGGGAAAATTCCATTTGGATGAGAATGAACCATGTGAAGGTCAATATATGAAAATAAAAATGATTAGTCTTTCGTAATGGTTCAGATTCACTTTGTTAGTAATAGTCAAACCAATGGCCTCAAAACTAGAATTTCCTGTCTTGTTGTGTGGTACTTAAGGCTGATGAGTACTGTTTCTTTTTATTAATCTTATACCAGCTCATGCTCACATGATCCATTGGGAACCCTGAAAAGGTGAAAAAGACAGCATTAGTTGTAGGGGGAAGAAATAATAGAGCTTAAAATAAGGATCCTAACATGCTGAAACTTCGTAGTTATTTCTCTATGTCTAGTATATCTAAGTAGTGCATATAGTCAAATTACCTAGTTTTGGCTCAACTTTGATACAATTGCAAAGTTGGATTGAATTAGAGCTTATTTGGTATTTGGCCCAGCTGAGGTTTTGTAGAAGTATTCCTATCACAAAACTGGATTTGAAACCAATTTTACTTTACAGGAGAAATTGCTTAAGTTAAAATTTTTATTGCTTTAATAATTTTTTAAATTGAAATTTATGTAGTTTTTAAAAGTTTAAATTTGAGTTATTAATAATTGGTTATGATAATAATAAATTACTCTTAATTACACCTTTTTCTTAGTATGAGATTTAAGATGTCTCACCATATCTATAAAAACTAACCTAACCAGGGTAACTTAATTAACCATAAAACAAAAGAAAACTTAAATTATTGATCTAGAACAGACAAATCAAAGTAACATGAGATGTCTGCCAAACACAATATAAATGAAAACATCTCCATGTGGATTCTACAAAACACTTGAAGGGAAGGAATAACTCTCTGGTTCTTTCCTTAAAAAGAATCGACAAGGGTTTATAATGAGTTGATTGCTCTGAATATCCTGATCAGCATAGGCAAGATGTTCAACAGTCCTATTACTGAACAACAATAAGCCTTCTTGACTTCATCCATGGACCCAAGAATCTCTTTCTCCAACGACTTTGCCGACCCCCATCAAGCCATCAAGTACCAGAGCAACTACAGGGAAGCTCCGGTGTCCTCGGATTTCGAATTCTCGGTGTCAAACTATGCCATGATTCCTGCTGATGAGATCTTCTTCAAGGGAATGATGTTGCCTCTCAAGGACAACCAAGAGAGGAAGATGACTCTCAGGGAGGAGCTGCTTGTGGACGACGATGATGATGACTTCATTGAGGGATTGCCAAGGTTGCAGAAGGGTTCCGGCTGGTGGAAAGATCGGTTGGGACTTAAGAGGGATAACATGTTATCTAGAAAATATGACAGTGTTGAGGTTCACCAGCGCAGAGGAATTGAAGAAAAAAGAACTGTGTTAGCTTGTGGAGAAGAGTCTATGATGACCAAGAAAACATAGGTAGGATTATATACTTCATATAAAAGCATTCTTTAAGTTCTTCTATGTAAGCATTAAAGAAATTTGTGTTTCGTAACTATAGGAGGTTAAGATTTTGAAGTTAATGAATTTTATTATAAAAGACTACAGGGAAAAAAATTGAAGTTGTAGATCTAATTTTTCATAATTCAACTTTTCATATTTGATTTGGAAGTACTAATTTGGTTTATGTTTCTTTTGTTACAACAGGAGAAGGGTACTAGAAAAGAGAAGGTTTGGCATCTGAGTAGGGGAAGGGTTCATTTCCTTTGGCTTTAGTTTTCTAATTTAAGCAAGATTTCTCATCTCCTGGGACGTAGAGAAGTATTTTGACTGTATTGTTAATTCTGTACAATTGTTTGCAGTGGAAATTTTAAGAGGCAATTTTGATTCATCCATGTAACCTATCCATTAAATTTCTGTATATTTCTTTTTGGAAGTTTTTTCTTCTCTTCCCCTTACATATACATAAGCGTTTGTTTGAATAAAAACTAGTAAAAAAAAAAAAGAAGAGGAGGGGAGGGGAGGGGATGAGAATGGAAGGAAAGTGAAAGGAAGAAAAATGTTAATATTAGTTTTGTTTGGATAAACGTAGGTGAAGGAGAGAAAAGGATAATCCTTTTATTTAATTAAATAATTTAAAGAAAAATAAAATAAAAAGAATAAAATTTTTAAAAGTTATTAATTAAATAAATAGTTGAAATAAAATATTTATATA